GATGCGCGCTTCGGCTCGAACCTAAAAGGCCTCGGTGTTGTTGAATCCGAAGTGGCGTCCACCTCCACACCTCCCGTGGTCTCCTCTTCCTCCAACATGATGATCGAATGAATACTAGTACAAGGGTTATTGATTGAAGAAAAAACAGTGAATACCTTTTTCAAAATTTCTGCATTTGAATAAAAAAATTTGGAGGTCACTGAGAACGTTTTACGTCACAGGGTGGGCGGGGGCCCCCTCGTGCCAAATATGGAAAATTGCAATTGGTAATTTAGGTATGTTATCCTTGTCGTAGAAGCTTCCGGTTTTCGCCATTCTACCACTTACGACATACTCTAATGGATTCCGCAATAAAAAATGGGGGTGATTTTGGACCGGAGTTCCCCTTTAACTCTTGTGTAATCAATGGTGCTAGTGACGCTTATATCAGATCCACTCTGATTAGGCACCCACACTTGTAGCAAGTATTACCTTCACTGGGGGCAGAAGTAACTGCAGTTGGATCCCTGGACGGATACCCTGATGCCGTCAATCCTTTTTCTGCACCTTGTCCTCACCCACTTACTGAGGTGTGGTGAGCCCATAAGTGGGATCATTTTCAAGTCCACCCAGAGTTTTGGGGGTTTCAGGGGTGTCGGCCGTTGGGCGGTTCAATAGCCAGTTGAGTCATCTTTCCAAGATTCCTTTTGAGTCTCTCTCCCCTCTCCTGGGGAGACCTATGTGACCAGTTTTGGCAGTGAGCAACAAGTACAAGTGTGTGTGTGTGTGTGTGTGTGTGTGTGTGTGTGTGTGTGTGTGTGTGTGTGTGTGTGTGTGTGTGTGTGTGTGTGCCACCTAGCTCGGTTGGTGGGTTCACTTATGCCTGATTGTGTAGGGTCTGTTGCCAACGGGCTCAGCTGCTTGACGGTGTAATGTTGTGCCTGCCACCTTTGTTGGTTCCAGGGTTCATATACTTTCTATTTGAAGTATACATACCTGTTAACCATGGACTGCTTCTGGCTAGATTAACTCTTGTGTAATCAATGGTGCTAGTAAATCTTGTATCAGATCCACTCTGATTCAGCCACCCACACTGGTAGCAAGTATTACATTCATCGGGGGCAGGGGTAACTGCAGTTGGATCCCTGGACGGATACCCTGATGCCGTCAATCCTTTTTCTGCACCTTGTCCTCACCCACTTACTGAGGTGTGGTGAGCCCTTCAGTGGCATCATTTTCAAGTCCACCCAGAGCTTTGAGGATTTCAGGGGGTGTCGGCCGTTGGGCGGTTCAATAGCCAATTAAGTCATCTTTCCAAGATTCCTTTTGAGTCTCTCTCCCCTCTCCCGGGGAGACCCACGGGACCAGTTTTGGCAGTGAGCAATAACTGAGTACAAGTGTGTGTGTGTGCGTGTGCGTGTGTGTGCGTGTGCGCGTGTGTGTGTGTGGGGGGGGGGGGGCTGTGGGGGTGCACGCACTCGTGTGTGTGTGTCGGTGCTTGCTTCATATCTTCTCTTACATTTTGTGTTGTTACTGGTGCAGCATTCCAGCTGCCAACAGCTGATCCAGGACTCGTCAGTGGTAAGTGTCCTCTGGAGCGGATATCTTCATTTTTGTGATACCACAACAACTATTCACGATTGCTATATCTGCAATATCTGCTGTCGTGAACAGGCTGTTATGTTTCTACCCAAGGGCAAAACATGAGCACACGACAACACAACCGGACTTGAGTTTACTTGGTATCGAACTGACTTACAACAAAAACATGACATCAAAGAATACAAAAGATCACAAATAAAATAACATGAACCTACTGTCGTCACGGGTTTGATAACCGTGAACGAACTGCCTCCACGCTCCTCGCCACGCCACACAACAAAGGACTAGTGCAAATTGTTAGAGAGCTTTTTCTTCTACTTCGCTTCAGTAGGCGATGGAGAACTCATGGTTATCAGACAACTAACACTGACAACGAACGACGGACAACTGACACTGAGACAAGACTAGACAACAGAATATATTAGATTGAAGGGGACAGAAGACGGTGCAGCCGCATGTACGCAGGAGTCAAAAACAGCGCAGCAGCATGTACCACGACTCGGCAGCATGTACAACAAAGAGACACAAAAGCAGCCACATGTACGACAAAGAGCTACACGTGCAACCGCATGTACAACGAAGAGACACAAGCGCAGCCACATGTACAACACTATCCCCCATCAAAAAAAAACATCCACTCCTGTGGATGGAAGCAATCAAAACAAAATTAGAAGAAAGACAGGAGAAAAATAAATCAAATGTGAACACAATACAGAGGAGAATAGAAACAAAACATGCAGGGCCAAAACAGTAAGAGACGTAACTCCGGACAAAGGGGAAAAAGCCAAGGCACAAATGTGTGAAAAGAAAACAGACCGGGCCCACCCATAGAGGGAACCGCCATACTTGCAGGCGTGGGCCGCCAGGAAGTAACCACGTTGCCCTGGTACGAAGCCAAGGCAAACCGATGGCACTGCGAAGACCGCGGCAGCTGAACCGGGTGACCAGGCATCTGGAAGCACAGGAGTTGTCCGGAAAACCATCACGCAGCCGATGGGGCTACGAAAGCTCACAGAGACAGAAAGACACACACAGAAAGAAACACGGACTGACGCAACCATCTCAGCCATCGCCGAAAATCAGAAAAGCACACGAAGGAAGGGAAGAACAGCCAGGAAGAACACGTCGACGGAAACAGGAGCAATTAATCAGTGAGGACACCATTGAGGACACACAAACAAATCGGTTACCAATACGCAAAAGATAATGAAGAAAAAACCACAGGGCGCTACCCTGAAAAACCCACAGGGATCGAACCTGAAAAAACCACAGGGATTGAACCTGAAAAAACCACAGGGATTGAACCTGAAAAACACGGAACTACATCCGCTTCGCAAAAACCAAAAAACTGAGACAAAAACTGTCAGGGACCGACTGGGGCGCGCAAGGGCCAACCAGCAACACGCGGAAACCATAACACCCGCAAGGCAAACCGATACAACAAAACACAGGATCCCTGCAGACCACCAGGCAGACCGTGGCTCACCATGATCAGACGCCCACCCAAACGAACTAGAGAGACCCACATGCCGAAACACAATTATTACAAAACCATACGCTCACAAAAAAAATTCAACCTGGATCCGAAACGAGAATCCTACATGAAGTTCACACCTCCCACCAAACCGGAAGCCACCAGCTTTCCGACTGGGTGCACAGTGCATGACCGAGCCTGACAACGCTCTGCACGGAACATGGAGAAACTACTACTACGACTACTACTTCTACTTCTAGCACTAGAGAAACGGTAGAAACACGAAACAAAATATGGATCGACTACAAACGAGGCAGCACCTCGAGAACGTTCAGGTGGACATCCAAACAAATCACGCGACACAGTCACAATATCGGAGCAGTCCGACGGCAACTCGGTCTCCGTGACAAGCACAAGTGCACAACACAAGACGAGATCAAAGCTACCCATGCTGAATTCACGATGAGCAAGCAAAAACAAGTTCCAGATTCGAACGCGAAGCACACAAACAGAAGTTTGAAATTTTCATACACACAACCGTACGGTACAGGGTAGTCGATCTACTAGTCAGAGCGACACAGGAACAACGAACAGAACGGGGCGAACTTACAACGAGCAGCTACAGCTGCGCAGCCTGCAAGGCGTGTCCTACGTGTACTCAAGATGTACACTACACAGTATGCATTACTGGGTCTGTGGTGTGCGTACACCACACAGGCATTCTATTTTTCCACTTCATGGCCCAAGCGTGACGGACGAATCAGCTTTTTGCTTGGATGGATTTGCATCACATTTGTCACATTCATGTACATGTTCATGAAGTGCGTTGGAATCTCAGAATGTGACGGCTCTTGCCATGTTATGAAAAGCCTCAAAGAATATTCGGAAGTCCCACTGAGCCGCAGCTTCAACCACTCTCTTTTGTGCGTTGTGTGCAGCTGGTTGTAGTGCATGCGGCAATGGACAAGCCTGCGTTGCCGGAACTTGTATTTGTAAGTTGCAGTTTGAATTCTATATTCTCACGAGGGCACTATTGGCAAATAAGAGATAAGTTTATGAGAAGGTGAGATGCTCTGAGTGGGGCTGCGGGCTAGGCAGTTGGATAGCAATTTACGTCACTTTGAATTTCACAAGCATGGGAGAGGATGAGCGCTGCAGGAGCTGATTGTGTTTGAAAGCAGGTCATTGAGGTTGTTGTACAGAGGTCAATATGGTCAGATCATTGCTGAGCGCATGGAACAATTTTAGGGAATAGCCACTTAGCCTCTTGCCCTATATTGTCAAGTCATCTTTCCCTCCATGGCTCGTTAGTTGGTCAGCAATTCACCCTATACATCAGGCGTAGAGCTTTGTGTTTGCCATTCCTTCTCATGGGGAGAAGTGTTGGGGGCAGAATTCGATTGCGACCAGCTTCCATGCATCTTTGCGGGGCTCTTAACCGTTGTACCCACCAACAATTCTAAGGGGTGTGTGTGTACGCGCGTGCATGTGTGTGCGTGTGTGTGTGTGTGTGTGTGTGTGTGTGTGTCCCCCATATGGTGCAGTGGTATATGCAGCGATTTTCAATCGATAGGTTGCGGGTTTGATTCCCGATGATTATGGCTTCTTGTATTGGGATTGCACCATTCAACAGCTTGCAAATCTGGTATACACCACACAGCTAATCTCTTCCGGTGGTGGACATCAAATGGTCACTGATCAATGGTGTGTGTGTGTGTATGTATGTGTGCACATTATGTGTGCATGCAAGTGCAAGTGTGTGTACATACATGTGTTCGTACTGTGTGTGTGTGTGTGTGTGTGTGTGTGTGTGTGTGTACGTCTGCGCGCACGTTTGTCGCGCCGAATGCAGATTGTCACACCGAGTCGGGAGCACCCGGCGGAGGATCATGTAGTCAGTCCTGTGGCAATGGAACTGTTTGCATTGGCAACAATACGTGTGGATGTGAGTATATTATTCCAATGTCGTATACCTATCACTCATGCACACTCTCTCCTCAACAATATATAGTGTATGCGATGGCATCAGAGAGGTTGCGCACAACGAAATTCCATAGCACTGTAACGAAATGTTTTAACGAAAAAATCAAATGAGTATTCGTAAACCGTGAGGTTGCGCACGATGTGTAAACTTTTTCGTAGTAGGTCAACGAGGGTATGAATAGTCAAGACAGGGAGTTGTAAGATATTAGTATTTTAGTACTCCACCTGGTGAAAAATATGCTCGTACTTCAAAGTAGATCTGCTCGGTTCCGGTCGCTCTTGGACAACTCTTTGTAGCAGCTTTCGTTACTCGAACCTGGACTGTCAAGATGTTACGAATTTTCACTGTGCGCAACCTCTCTAATATCAGTTGAGATGCTTTTAGGAAATTCGCTGCACAGTAATGCACTAGCTCAAACGAAACCATGGAAACAACCGACTCGAGCTGTTCGCATAAGCGCCCATGAGCGGTTCCTCTTACTCGCCGCCATCACCTCATTCGCATATTGTAATAGCAGAAATTTTCAGTGGTGTTTTATTTTCGGTAACTTCGGTGCCGAAATTTTCACCTGACTATAAAACGCATCGAAAATTTAGGTACTAGCAGTGCTAGTAGACTTACCTGGAAAACGGGTTTACTGAAAACATTTCCCTCCCCGAACCGCCGATTTTGGAGAATACTGAAAACTATTACATAACCAAAAAATTCCGCTTTTAAAGCAACCTCTGTGCAATTCTCCATCACAATTCCTTGGCACACTTTCAGAGCATCATTGCATTGTCTCCAAGGAAATTGTACACTATCAAGGCTGCCACTTTTCTGTCGCCGGAAATCCGAAAGGGGTCCGTGTGTGTCCCTGGACCCTTGCACCGAGGGGTAAGGAAGCAGCGCTTCCTTTACAATCCAAAACATTTCTAGGATTTTAGGAGCCTGAAACAACAGACTTGGGCACTTTCGCGAACATTCCTAGTGAGAAAGCAAAGTTTGTTTCCGGTCGGTTTGTCGGAACGACCTCTGCAGATCAGAGTGATTCCGAAAAATCGGAACCAGTGGCACCCTTGCTCTATAATTATACATAATGATAGCCATGCTCACATCCAAATAATACACTGGGCATGGGACCGGGGCGCAGAGGGTTGTACTGGGTTTAAGTTAGGGGTGAAACGGTTACCCTTTAAGCTAACAAACGGGTACCTGGCTTAACGGGCGGGTTATCGGGTACCCTTTAGCAAGCCATACACTTTTTACAAGAGCATTGCCACTGCATTGCCACTGGTTATGATCGTAAGCACAACGCCTCTTTTACGGGCATTCTGGAAGCATTTCTAACCAGAATGAATCTTCTTCTTGAGAAAAAAAAGAAACAGAGAGAGAGAAAGAGAAAGAGAGAGAGAGAGAGAGAGAGAGAGAGAGAGAGAGAGAGGCAGGCACACACATACACGCACGCACATGCACATACACGCACACACACACAGGGAGAGAGAGCACGAACTATCTATAATTCAATTCGCTGTGAAGGAAGATCTGGCAGTGAAGGTTCATCATCGTCTTCGACTGCAGCCAAGACAAGTGGCAGGGCCGGCTTCGGTGGCGCAGGAACTCGTACATCGATGATGTGGGCGTTCTTGTGCAGAAAGACTTGTGCATCGATCATTTCTGCAGACAACTTGCTCCGGCGCTTGTCGACGATCTGCCCAGCAAAGGAAAACACGCGCTCAGATGCAACAGAAGTTGCTGGAATGCACAAGTACTTCCGTGCGAGTGGAGCCAGGCGGGGAAATCGGGCAGCATTTGTGCTCCACCACAACAGAGGGTCAACAGAGCGCTTGACTGGCTTTTCAGCCAGATAAGCTGCTACCTCTGCTTCGATGGATCCCTCGCTATCCTCATCCTCACCGTCGTCGCAAAGCAGCTGATCCAGGAGGCAGCGGCGTTTTGCTGGTGGCTCGGAGCTAGAGCTTGAAGATTCCGAGCAGGGCGAGCAGCCGACACTTGCATAGCTGATGAGCGTTTGCTGCACTTCATGTTGCTGCTCCAAGTCGAGGAACTTTAGAGCACGAAACCGAGGGTCCAACGCAGCAGCAAGCACTGCCTCTCCGTGAACATCTAAGCCATCCAAATGAAAGCGCCTAGTTATACTATCCGCAAATGCCTGCTTCACGCATGCCACTACCAGCAGGTCGTCATCATCTCCGGTCTGGCAATGGGACTTCAGTGCCGTCAGTAGGGGAAGAAGCCAGGGCAGGGTTGAGTACTGCTCACCGCCCAAAGATGTCGTCACCTGGTCCACCGACCTCAGGAAATCGAGGAGATGTTCAGCAGTGGCCCACTGGTCTGCGGACAAGTCCATGGAGCGGCGATCTTTGTCTGGCATATCCGCAAGGACCAACTGCACAGGCACTTTGAGCTGGACAAGACGATCTAACATCAGGTACACACTGTTCCATCTTGTTGCACAATC